TTCATTTTTTTTATTTGCAAATTAATTCCTATTATTCTATTGAAAATTTGGACATGCATCGATCGTTAGTAGGAGAGAGATCTTTATAACAGCAATAACTCTTGCCTTGTATTCGCAATGACTATTAATATGTTCCAAGGCCAATCGTTAGAAGCGTGTAGAAGAAACCTTGAAATATTTCGCATGGGTAGTTGTACGTCGCGTGCTCGAGAGTCCGTTTCTGTTCAGAAGGAAAGACTAAAATATTGACGAAGACGAAAAAATATTGTAAATTACAAGGCATCACAATACGTTAAACTCGATTCTCTTTAATAATTTTAATTCATGACATGGTCGTATTGTAAACGGAAGATTTTGTCTCATTTTTTGTTTACACGTGTTACATTTCCGGTACTTTTTTAATTTGACAGGTTAATCACTTTCGAAAATTCAATGTCAATTTATGGAATTATTGATAATCCAACTTATCTGAATTTACAGGAAGTGTGACATTTTCTTAGTCTGCGACTGTACACCTCCAAATAAGTCTTTCAGGAATTTCGAAAATATTTACAAAAATAAAATAATGGCCGTACGAAGTTCGCAGTTTAGCTAGTAGTAAATACAATTAAAGATGTACTCCAAGGTCTTACCAACAGTCGTATATGAATCCATACTGTGGTAAATAAAGACAACACTAAATAATAAAATCATTTTTTTTTTATTTCGCAAGGTAAATTTAATACACAATGGTTAACACAGAAATTAGTCAAGGTCAAGTCAATCAGTGGTCAAAGCGCTGTCCTCCTAGCTAGTTAATTGAATAACCTTTATTATGGAGCAACAGTCCCAAGCCTCTATACAATTAAAGATGTATTTCCAAGGTCTCACCAACAGTCGTACATACATCTGTACAGGGCCTCAATTCTGCTATTACGCCAAGCTAGTGTCATACCACTGACACGCTATCGAGTGGCCATTGGCATCGGTATAAATATCGATAGTATTTATTTATTTTAATAATTTATTATAATAAAAATTAGTAAATCATTTCCTCAAAAAAACGTAATATATTTTCAAATAATAAGGATTTTTTTTTTATTTTTTTTTTTTTTGTTTTTTTTTTTAATAATTTATTTTTTACTCTTTTTTATGATTTTATTTTTTTAATAATTTATTTTTATTTATTTATTTCTTTTAATAATTTATTTTAATAAAAATAAAAAAAAACATTTCATCAAAAAACGTTATATATTTTTAACTACCGATATTTATACCGATGCCAATGGCCACTCGATGGCATCTCAATAGCGTGTCAGTGGTATGACACTGGCTTGTCGTAAACATAAAATAGCAGAATTGAGGCCCAGCCCGACGGCTTGAGCGAGATTGATGCAGCTCGTTTTAATAGGACGCATCACTCGTGCACATGTTTATAAGTTGTTAGGTTAAGGTTGTATGTCTTTGGTGTTTTTAGATAATATGATTTTTCTGGTTATTTCTTAATACTAACTATTAAAACTTGAATTATAATCAATTAGAATCTAATTTAAATTAAGTCATTATAATTTTTATTAAGTGAGTCTATCAAATTATTTTTATTAATCTGTTTGTTTTTTTTCTATTATAAAAACCTTGTCCTGATAACAACAAAGGACACTAAAAAAAGAATTATCCAATTTTGTGCAGTCGTTCAGAAGTTATGCGCGTACATACATTTTGATGATTCATTTTTATTTATATACATGTTTTACAGTAAACGTAAGGTTAATTAATGATTTTTCATACGTTCTGTCAGACGGTAATTACTCATGTTCAAATGAATTACATAAAATCGTTTGTTTGCATTAATTTTCATCACCTCAATGACGACATACATAAATCCTCATTTATCCTTAGATTTAGCTTTTAGCTTGACTTATAACTAACTAACTAACTGTATAAATAGGTCTTGAAAGTGGAAAAGGGAAAAAAGATTATTTTTGCACTCATCTTGGCCTGTGATCATGTGATAACTTTTATAAATTTTAATCCACCGTAAGATGAGACTTTAAATATGGCTTTTAAAACAATCTTCTCGGTAATTTGGTTAAGAACTCATTCACACGTCTGAAAAACTTGCACAAATAAATATTTCAGTTTAGGTTCTGCAGCAAGTAGAGACTGTTGTTTGTATGTTTTTTTTTTGAAAAGATAACTCCCGTACTAGGAATGTAACCTGTGTCGCGGGGGACTTTACAAACATACATGAAACGAACACAAAGAACACCCAGACTCAGAACATCAATTTTGTGGATCACACAAAGTGTAGATCACAACACTCAGCGCAGTAGGAAGCGGCGAGGTGACCGCTTAAACCACTACGCCATCCATGCAGTCAACGGTTGTTTTGACCTTTACCTCTCCACTGTTTGTATATGCATGTTGCATGCCTTGACGCATATAATAGACCATTTTTAAACAATTATTGTAATAAAAACAAGCGTCGCATTACAGTTTTGCTACCGCAAAAAGTAGTAAGACTTTGTTAGCTAATTAGTTAACTATCAACATTTTATAGTGCCTTTATTAATATTAGCATTAAAGCACAAAACTAATAGCAACGGATTGACGCAACTCAATTATACCTTCGTTTGACATATGTATTTTTGACTTGCCTCTCAATTTTTGACTTTAGGGCGTAAGGTTTAGAGTGAATAGGAATACTGATCCATATCTATCATCTCTTCGTATAATATGGGGGTTGTGGTTTATTTATCCCTAAAAATTTAACACATGGAGCAAAGTTTTCACCCTTTCTGTATCAACCGTATGTCTACTAAGCTGACAACTATAACACTTATTTAATTTACCAGAGCTAACTTAAAAATGACGTCGACTTGAAGACAGTGGCTGGCAAAGCAGCTTTCATATAAAAACCTGGATGCCTAATGGTGGCCTTTCTTCTTTTACGAGGATGACTTAGTATTAGAGCAGACAGGAAACTGAATCCAGACACCAGTGTATGGCCTAAATCAAGTCACGTAAGGGTTTGCAAGTCAAAACTGTTTCCTCAACACCATTCCTACCGACGAAAGCAATGCTCCCAAGGCAAGAGAACACATAGGCTCCCTTTCTCCACCTTCGTCCTTTTGGCAGAAAAACTACCTCCAAGAGATAAACTCCCCTGGAAAGCGCTCAATAGGCTCCACAGACAATGGGCCCAGCCCAGAATCGTGTACGCTTAATGACGGATATCAAACGTCATCCGCGTCGCCGAGCACTGGGCCAAAACCGTTTGAAGAGTTGCCATCGACACGATAAGAAGAAGAAAAATGCATTAATTTATTATTTATCAGTATATTGTAGTACACAGCTTCAATAAAAAGCCAAATAAAACAGAATAAAGTTAGCAACGTAAATTCTATATTTAGTCTTATTCTCTAAGTTCGAGTCGAACCCAGGCACCGTTTTGAATATTCATAACGAATCCTTTATCTAATTTAAGTGGAATTGTAGTTTTTTCGCAGGGACTCACTTTAATTTTACGAAAAAGTTGATAAAGCATCACCTTCACTTCACAGAGAGCAAAACGAGAACCTATAAACAAACAAATTCATGAGTACTTCAATAAAATTAAAATAGCTTTACGAGCATAGTAAATAATTATAATCATAAATAATTGTATAAAGTTTGCAAATCGTAAAAAATAACGTATTTTTAGGTACTAACCGATACAATTCCTTGGTCCCAGTCCAAAAGGCATGTAAGAAAATGGTTTTATGTTGTGCTTGTTCTCATCGGAAAATCGCTCAGGGTCAAACTTCTCAGGGTTGGGGAAGAGTTCCGGGTTTCGGTGGAAAATGTAAATCGGAAACCCAATAGCAGCACCCTTGCGGATCTAATAAAACAAATAATATCTCTACATAAACGTATGGATACAAAGCTTAGCACCTTTTTGGTCTGTGGTTGTCCCACCCACACTTTTTTTATGACCATTTACGAATATTAGTTGAATACTACTAGTGTAAGTAAAACAATGATTTATCGAGCATTTCAGTCGTAAAATATCAAAAAAACTAAGACAGTGTTCAAATTGTACCACTATCAGTTCTAAAACAATAATACCAAATATTTTCAGTTCGACACGGCAAAAGTGTAAGTTACAATTTTGATAAAGGTAGTACGTAGATGGAAAAGTATATTCATGAATAAAGAAGAGAAATCTTGCGATATGTGCAATGCTTACTATTAGGTCTTTGGTTGCAGTTTTGTTCACTCTGCCAAAATTGTAGTCTTTCACGCATTTCCTGTCTAGGAATGGAGCGGGAGGGTGCAGGCGCATACCCTCTGAAACAAAAAGTTATTATGTTATAATTTTCCATATTCTTTTTTAATTTAGATGTCTGGTATGTTATAGTTATATAAATTTAATATTGAATTATTATTTTTTCATCCGTATGACCGATACCAAAACTGGTTCCATTTCTTGTGATTTTATGAATGTTCATATCTTTGTAGAATTGACCGCTTACCGGATACAACCATATCCATGTACTTCATACTCTGTATTGATTTGAAATCCAACTGACCATCATTCTTCTGATCAAATTCTTTTATTTCTTGTACCAACTTCTCTTGTACATCGGGATTTACAGCCAGTTCGTGGATAATGAATGTCATTGCCGTTGAAATTGTGTCGAAGCCAGCCAAGAGAAATAGAACTGCTTGAGCAACTAAATCCTTGTCTGACCATTCTGTAACGCATATAAGATTTAAGTGTTACTAGAAAGTTGGAATATAAAAAAAGAAAAAGAAATAGAACATTAAAGAACAATTTTACAATTTTTGTGTATCACATTTAGTGATGCAGTTAAAGAGGTTTCAAACCTCTTCAAATGTATCACTCACCTTACGATATTAAACATCAGTAATTACACAGTCAAACATTACAATGTACAATATTCCTATATTTTATCTTATTTTCATAAATTATAATATTACAATTGAAGTTATCTGTCCATTCTGTAAAGTATACAAGATACAAGTTACTGAAAGTTACTTCTTCTTACTTCTTCTGTGAAGTTAAAATAGAAAAAAAAAGATCTTTGACATTTTTGTGTAATGCATTGAAACCTCTTTAATTGTATCACGATGTCATACGTTAGTAATTATTTTTGGTATTAAAGTAATGTACATACAATAACATTTTAATATTAATATTATCTTAACTTATTTTCATAAATTAGAATTTAATCAAAGTTATCATAATTACGCCAAAAAAATTCTCGGCATCGTCACCGTCACGGTGTCGTTCATAGAACTCTGGTATTTATTTCTTAAATTATTTTACCTCTTTCGCGCAACTTTTTGCCAATATGTGACTCTTCCACTGTAGCAAAACCGGCGCCACTGTCAACATCTGAGTTCTTTTCATGTTTCAATTTCCCTGAATTAAACAACAGATTATTTTTTTTTGTTCAAAATTACAGACTGAGTTCATTTATATTATTTGTAGTTTATAATGTACTATTTATAAGTAGTTTTATAGCAACAACAGAAAAACATGTTCTGCGGCAATTTATACTGAAATATAACAATATATTGTTGGGATTAATGAAAAAGCAATATTATTTATGTAGAGTATGTTACAAAGTTACATTGTTTAAACTGACTTAATGAATTTAACAGTGATTTTAATTTGATTTGATTTATTTACTTCTGATTTATGTAATAATAATAATTGATTCCTAAAGTTATGTTTGACTTTTAATGCAGGCTTGTAATTAAGGATACACCAGAAGAGAGAGATCGAGAGAGAAGATCCAAAAATGAAATAAAAATTAAATAAAGTTATCATCTTTTGAAATAATATTTTGACTAGATTTCATGTGATTTATTTTATTGATTGATTGATTTACTGTTTTTAGCTACCTTTTTTTATCTCATTGAGGATATTGATCATATCGTGTCTGATGATATTTCTCTTCTCACGTTCTTCTATAGTGGACAGTACCACGTTTGAGAAGAAACTAGAGGTCTCAGATGAACTCAATGACAGCTTCAGCATCTGCACATTTATATAAATTAGAATAACGTAATACTAGTTTTCTTAACTAACTCAATATTTGAGGTTTTAGGATTGATTTTTGAAGTTCTTGGTACATTTGATTAATATTCTTTTAAATAGTCCCAAATTGAAATGTGTGTGAATCAGGTCCCGTTGTTTTAAACTATTTAGTTATGACTTCTTCTTCTTAGTCAAGTTTTTCATCCAGCTGTCTGTGTTTGTTGCACTGAGCAGCCTAGTGAAGGACACAACCAAGCATTGCTATTCAATTTTTCTCTAGAACGGTACTATTTATTACTAATAATAACAAACTAGTAACCAGTGAGTCAGTTATATGCTATTAATTCATCCTGGTCAACTTGTTCAAGATATCGTTCGGTATAGCCAGTTTTAATGAAGAAATACACTGGTCAGCAAATAAACCGAGCCACCTGCTACCTAGGAACTCTGATTCGATTTTCTCAAAAAGTATAAAACTTACAACTATCAAAGTTATACCTACAAAAAGTGCGTTTCATGGTGATTAAAATGACTAAAAATTAATTCGAAAGTACCGTCAACTCACATTGTAATCAAGCAACAAACACAATGCTAACGATTTGCTCTGTTTTCACTAGAGTTTAAATTAGCGTTCTTTTTCTCTACAATGAGGGTAGTCGGATATTTCTTATCATTTCTTTAGTTTTTGTCCATCGTTTGCTCAGACGCGTGTGTTTTTGCTACTTTTTTCGATTAATAATGGATACAACACCTCAGAAAGCAGCTCAAGCTGTAGCATTACTTGAAGCAGGCATTGCGCAACGTGAAGTCGCTCGAAGGCTTCGAATCAGCAGATCTTCGGTGCAACGAGTTTACAGACAATACCTAGAGACTGGAGCATTCGATCGCCGTCCAGGTACGGGCAGACCTAGGGCTACATCAGCAGCAGATAATCGTTATATCTGTTCTGCGAAATCGCCACCTCAACGCAGTTCAAGTCCAAGAAAGTCTGCGTGACGAACGCCAAGTGGTCATAAGTTCAGATACCGTCAGAAGGAGACTTGCTGAACGGAACCTGACCCCAAAAAGAGCTGCAACAGGCCCAGCATTAACGGTAGCACACCGTCGAGCACGACTTGAATTTGCTCGAGAGCATAGGGATTGGACATTAGAGCAGTGGAGTAATGTACTCTTCACTGATGAGACCAGGGTGAGTCTACATGGAAGTGATCGACGTCAGAGAGTATATCGTCGCCCTGGAGAACGTTATTCTCAGTGTTGCATCGAGGAAACTGTTGCTTATGGAGGAGGATCTGTAATGGTCTGGGGCGGCATCTCGTTAACAGCACATACAGCGTTAGTTTTCATCGAACCGACGGGCCGTACACGTGGACTGACTTCTCATCGCTACATTACTGAAATCCTCGCAGACCATGTGGTACCTTACGCAGGATATATCGGACAGGATATGCAATTGATGCATGATATTGCACGGCCTCATGTTGCTCATGTGGTGACCCAGTATCTCCGCGACGTCAGCATTCGTACGATGGACTGGCCAGCTCGAAGCCCGGACTTGAATCCGATAGAACACTTATGGGATGAGCTGAAACGTCGGGTTCGAGCCCGGGTACCTGCTCCAACAAGGCTTCCAGAGCTGCGAATCGCAATTGAAGAGGAGTGGAATACAATTCCTCAAGATTTTATCGTCAGGCTCGTAAGGTCGATGAATACAAGGATGCTGGCAGTTATCCGAGCAAGGGGAGGGAATACGGAATATTGATCAAAAACTTTTTTTGATTTTATCTTTGTTTTTGGCTTTATTTTTTTTTTTCACTTTATCATTACTAACGATTGTCACGACTGGACAACGACACTTCTTTGTAAAATCCTTAATAAACACTGAAATATTGATTAAACCCAATGAGTTTCCTTTCATTTTAATCACCATGAAACGCACTTTCTGTAGGTACAACTTTGTTAATTGTAGGTTTTTTAGTTTTTGTGAAAATCGAATTAGAGTGCCTAGGTAGCGGGTGGCTCGGTTTATTTGCTGTCCAGTGTAGTTATGTACGTGACTTACATCAGCAATTGAAGGAAGACATCTCGAGAAGAAAACTTTCAAAGCCTTCGTAAAGTCGAATTTGACTAATTCCTTGGCTTTGACGTAGAAATGGCTGTCAGCGGACTGAGAGTCCACTTCGAGGCCAAAAGCGCATGAAGCAATTACGTCGTTTGCGTAGCGGGTAGTAATATCTTTGGCACTCGCGTCAATATATTGGGCTGTACATAAAATAAGTTTGTCAAGATAAAAATAATATTCCATGGGTTATTTGTCTATAAATTTAAATAACATTCAACAATGTACTCGTGTTTAAGTGATAAAAACGCTTCACTGAGATCAATGCGATTGATGATTTTATTTAATGATTTGATTCCCCTTAATTTTTCTTTCTCACAGATGGAATATTCTCCAGGAATTCTAATAAGAGCAGTTTCAGCATTTTTTTTTTAAATCAATTCGCAAATGAAGAAGACATCGTGGAATATTAAAAAAAAGAACAAAATTGTATCGCATGTATCGAATTAATAATATGGTCAAAATTAATAATAACATTTAATAAAAATAAATTCGTAATTAAATAGATTCATTTAGTCATAACTTGAGCATCAAAAACTAAAAACATTAATTTTGAAATGATACTCATTTCTAGGTTAATTCAAAATGTGGCACTTACTTTCAGAATCTTTAATTTTTTTACTAAGAACCTTGATCATTTCTTCTCCAATATCGACCATAAAAGGCACCATCAGACGAATCTTGGAGCTGGTAAATGCTGGACTTAAAGTGGAACGCATTTCTTTCCATTCCTCACCTGTAATCGTTGGGGAATATAATTATAATACTTTCTTAAATTACATTGTAACATATTTGTTTGAAGTGTTAAACAAATATGTAACATATTTGTGTCTGTGCCAATCTTCAACCGCTCGTTTCCAAGGAGTTAGCCTTATGAGAAGAAAGGGCAAGCAAACTCACGGACACTCTTTTGAAATTATCAGAAATATAATAATAATAACTTAAGATGATACCATGGAATCATTAAATCTACTACAGAAGTTTTGTTTTGATGTGTGCCAGGCAGTATACTGTATTTACAAAATAAAACTTATTAACTAAATAACTTTAATTTGGTTAAATTTCAAGTGACCTTGCAAAACACTTTCAAAGTACTGACACTTGCGAGTATAACAACACTACTCTGCACTTATCATCATCCCGACTTCAACCTCAAAACTAGAGAAAGCTAAAAGCAATTCTACCATTTTCCTCCACGTGTCTAGTTAACATTAGGTAAAGAATTACTGACCTTTAAGATTGATTAAACCTCTTCCAAAATCGGGATCAAACTCACTGACGAAACTCCTTCGATCAACGAAGTGATCAAAGTCTTTAATGGTGACCTTTTTTATTAATTCTACATCTTTCACAATGTATACAGGATTCAACGTTTCATACATTCCCACGACTCTGGAAATTACAATGATATATTGTATACTGTCTGTGCCCAGTACTTCATACGCGGGAAATAATACGGACTAATAATTGTATTCGTGTCGTGATTTATCTGAATCTCATACTAACACAAACCCTAAAAAATATTTAACATTTTTGTAATTTTTTTTCTTGGACTTTGTGAGGTTTTTAACTGTGTAAGTCACTTTTCTAAAATACGTAGGTACTATTATCAGCCAAAGGTCCTGTCGTAAATCATTCGCCACCTACGTGTTGGAGTTTTTTAAAACCAGCTTCTAGCTTTCTTTACGGTCTGGAATCTGGTTTATAAAAAAAAATGCAGTGATTTCTAACGTGTCGCTAAAACGGAACTCGAAATTATTTGGTATAAAACCTTCTAGACACCACATCCCGCCAAGATTCCGCTTCTACAAGGTTCCGCTGCAAAGTAGTGACATTAAAGCGTGTCCCGATGCATAGTTTTGGTGGACTTACGTTACGCGGTATGTAATAAGCACAACGACTTTCAGATTTAGAGAATTAGAGATAATATTTTTGCCCTCTGTACGATTTAAAATGGCGTTGTTTATTATAAGACTTTGGACATTGTGGGTAGTCAATATAGTGCGCTCACATAACCAAGAGTCATTCAAATTTGACACTCTTTTTATTTTACAGATCTTAGTTCTCCAGAAGAAAAATTCATCTGACATAAGCGAGATGTAAGTCTAATGTTCTTTGAAAAACGTATCATTATCGATTTCGATTAATACGTTCGAGAACTCTTGTGCATCAATAATATTGAAATTAATTATCAAAAACAATCATGTAATAGACCAGCGGTTCCCCATAATAACCAGTCGTGAGCTGGACGATTCCGACAGCTTCCCGCAACCTTCACCAGGTCGTCAGACCACCTTGTGGGAGACCTACCCACGCTCCGTCCACCGGTACGTGGTTGCAACTCGAAAACTTTTTGGCTTCATGCCCCGTCTACTGCCACTTAAATTTGGTAATTTCCCGCTAAATGTCAGTGACTTTGGTTGGTCTATGGATCTTTTCATTCCAGATTCGATGAGGCAGAGAAACTCTGAGCATTGCCCTCTCATTGCTCATTGGGTGACTTTGAGCCTTCTTTGAATCAGACAGATGTTTTGCAACGTTCTATTGAGGGCATATTTCAGTGAGCTATGCTACATTCATACATACAATCAAGTAAAGTGTTAGCTTTGAGTGTTTCGGTGATTTCTAATTCTATATATATTTTGAACAGCTTATAGAAGCAGTTTTACCACCAGGTCATATTACTGCAGTTATACCAGACGACACTACCTACTATTTAACCAACACGCGGATATAACAAGAAAAAACCCCAAGTTATTAGCGCAGCTATCATGAACTCGATGGAAGAATCTGAATCTGAATGACTTCGACCCCATGGAAGATTGCTCGTTGCACTTCACATATATATTCGGTGTATATTCCTAATGCGGGAATTGTCTTTAACAAAATAATTAATAAACTACACTTCCGGACTCAATCCCATGGTTGGTCAGAGTTTTTAGGGAATAACAACTGTCGCAAATGTTGTCTCTAAATAGGCCGAATCACTATGCTAAGTTTCATTAACACCCATTTTGGTAGCTTTTGCGTAATTGCGTAGCATACAGACAACAATTCCAGAAAATTATTTTTGTTCTTTTTTAATGTTCTATGGGTTTTTTAGGTTAAAATAAGGTTACAATATCCAAAAACAGTTCAATGCACAGACACTTTTCTACTTTTTTATTATAAGTATATAGATTATGGTATAGTTATGGCAACCAAAATAAAATTTTATGATGGCGTGTACATGAAAACCATCGTGTTACGTTCCTTTTAGTCATACATTAATGGAATTTCGTAGCCAATACAAACAATTAGGAACTTCGTTACAATAAAAGCCAAATTTAATGTCTCAAAAAATAATGAAATTATATATTTAGAAAATATAGGTATAATCTTTTATTGATCTGTTTGGCAGAGTAGAAGGATAAATAAATTTATTTCCTAATTCACTTTATACTTACTTGTCATCAGGAAACGTAGTACTTAACTTCGAACAAGAAATCGGTGATGTTCTCTAACTTAATGAATGCCCATAAAAGGTTCCCGAAGAACGGAATGATAGGAAGGTGGTTGACTCCTTCGTTGGCAAGCTTTGAGTAGACCTTGCGGAGGTACAGCCCCAGCGCCACGAGAACCACGACAATCCATATTATGACTATCATTCTGGCTGTAGAAAGGCGGGATACATTACATTAAAACTTAAAAATTACTTGAAAAGCAGTCTTATACATTTCTAAACAGTGATTCTTTAAAATAATTGAGTTAAGTTATGTTTTGAAATTAATAATTCCAAATATTAATTTCGATTGGAATATCAAGCATAGTTAATAGTCAAATGAAACAACAAACAGTATATTTAAAAATTAAAAATAAATATATGTTCACTAAAATGAAAGATTATAAAGTATCATAACACAGATTGACATTGATGTTATATAATGTGTATTTATACTTCATTGACTAAAGCATTCAAAGATAACAGTTACACAATAAGAGATAAAACACAAAATTGTTTGTGTACTATATTGACTCACTTACCTTTTATAATTTGTTTATGAAAACTCCGTATCAGTTGAAGCACGTTCGTTCTCGAGCTCAACTTACAAGTGACTGATGTGAGACAGCCATTTAATGATTATTTGAAAACATCGTTTATCAGAAAATATATATAGGCAATCAGGCCAAATTTGTACGATTACGTACTGCGCAGTACCGGAACAGCATTATAATTCGCTAGGGATGCATTTTTCGTAAATGCGTTAAACAAAAGAACGGTTACTAAATTATGTGCTTTACCCATCGATACTAACTGTGCTGATTAGCTAACATGGTCATTATTCTTACTTTTGCTTACACTTGTTTTGTAAATTTTTTGATGTTTCACAAATCGTAAAGGACTGGTAGTCTTTTGGTGGGCGGCATGTTGGATTATATAGCTTAAGTACATTTATTGACAGTCCACTTCTCTATACCTCAAAGCTTAGCCTCTAACCGCCACCCACATTTAAAGTTCATCCGAGAAACACGCTTATTAAATAGTTAAAAAGCTCTGTACAAACTGTATTAATTGTCAAAACAGTACCAAATCCTTGTTCCGCAGAGTACGTAGAGAAAAAAATTCGCCCTTGGTGCACTGCAGCAAAATAGTTTTGCATTGCGATAACCACCTTAGATTACACCACCTAACATTACAATGCTGGTATTATTTGAATTGTTTATGGTGTACAATAAACATTCTTAAGTTTAATATTTCATTAAAAATTGATTATTATACTTTTTGTTAACAAAATACAAAGAAAAGGTTTCTAGTATGAAAAAGGCGCATCTAAAAATATTACATCTTAAATTCCCTTTTTTAGCTTCCATGGGCAAATGTATCATATCGGGACAAATGATATGTTTCAATTAGCAGTGTTTCATTACTACTCTCTACTTGTATAATACTACTACAATACTAAATCTCTGAAAAGGCTTTTCATCTTTTTTTTTATTTTATTCTTTATGCACAAGTAATAGTTGTATATTGGCGGACTTAAATTTGTCTGACTTCACAGATCATATCTTATTAACTTCGTTATAATTTAAATACCATCAGGATTAAGTACTGGACCAGTTAGGACAGTTAAGGCTCCTGTTTCACTGGCCTCACAAACTAGACAGGTGGGTACACAACTTCCGTCTCTTGAGTTGCTGCACTCTCAGTCCGGTCCCATCTAAGTTACCTTAACTCCAATTAACCTTCATTTCATCTGAAAAATAAGGGTTGGCGTCAGTCAAGTGTCTATTTTTTTTTAAACCAGCAGAACCCATTGCGATTTTCCATATTTATTTCAAATGAATTTTAACTTTATAACCCGACCCATAGATAATGGTTTCTTGATCTGGTATAATATCCTAAATATAATTATTTTGTTGATCAACAATCATGTTATCTAAAACATTGACTTACCTATGTTCATTGTCACGGTCAATAATAATTCATCAATATATCGTATTTAATTCCGGGATCTATAATCTATTAAAGTACATAAATAAAAACAGATTACACTAACATGATCGTAGATATGAGACGGATCCAGAGGCACTTGTAATATTTATCTTATGTGAAACAATCAGATATATTCGCATTACTTTAGTTTCAAGAGCCATTTGAGATATGGCGTGATATGGCACAAAACATAAAGAAGGATCCGGTATTTGCTGAATCTCGTAATTTGACTATCTTATGGTATAAAAAAATCTAATGTCATACAATAATACAATTAAAATATTTATAACATTTACACTATTTACATACTTATACAAGCATCAAAAAATTCCTGCGCATCAACGCCTATTGGTAGTATTACCAGAAGACTGGCAGCATTGCCGCGTCGAATGGCAATGCTAATTCTCTGTGCTAGAAAAAGGCTGACCTTCTGATCACGAGAAGAGTCGATCAGTTGCTTAGCTAGTTGTTTATACATAGCATGAGCACTCAGACCCCATGATACTAGCGTCTCGACCCCAAACGGTATTTATCCCAAAGCATTCAAAGATAACAGTTACACAATAAGAGATAAAACACAAAATTGTTTGTGTACTATATTGACTCACTTACCTTTTATAATTTGTTTATGAAAACTCCGTATCAGTTGAAGCACGTTCGTTCTCGAGCTCAACTTACAAGTGACTGATGTGAGACAGCCATTTAATGATTATTTGAAAACATCGTTTATAGTACTCGGATAATATACAAGGCAATCAGCCCGAATTGTACGATTACGTACTGCGCAGTACCGAAACAGCAAAATAATTCGCTAGGGAAGCATATACGTTAAAGAAGAGAACGGTTACAAAAATATGTGCTTTACCCATCGATACTAATTGTGATGATTAGTTAATACGATTATTATTCTTAGTTTTGTTTACACTTGTTTTGTAAATTTTTTGATGTTTCACAATATCGTAAAGCACTGGTAGTCCTTTGGTGGGCGGCATGTTGGATTATATAGCTTAAGTACATTTATTGACAGTCCACTTCTCTATACCTCAAAGCTTAGCTTCTAACCGCCACCCACATTCAATACATGTATGTTCAGTTCAGTACTAAATTCAAGTTCATCCGAGAAACACGCTTATTAAATAGTTAAAAACTCTGTACAAACTGTATTCATTGTCAAAACAGTACCAAATCCTTGTTCCGCAGAGGACGTAGAGTCCCTTGCGGAGTCCGCACAATTCACGTATATCTTTAGTTACATACTAGCTGAGACCCGCGGTATTACCAGAGTGCCAAGTCCAGATCTTTATCGGAAAAGAGCCTGATATTAATAAGGCCTGGACCTTTTACCAAATTAATTAGACAATTTATTCAAGCTTCACAATTTTGAAATACCATACTGATGACAGAAACACGTGCCCATCACTAATTGCATTTGAGAATATTAAAGAATATTTACCTTAAATAAAGCAAAACCTTATAATCCCCTTCATCATCATTGTTTGCCTACGACTTTCCCCATTTCATTTGAAAAAAATTCGCCCTTGGTGCACTGCAGCAAAATATTTTTGCATTGCGATAACCACCTTAGATTACACCACCTAACATTACAATGCTGCTATTATTTGAAATGTTTATGGTGTACAATAAACATTCTTAAGTTTAATATTTCATTAAAAATTGATTATTATACTTTTTGTTAGCAAAATTCAAATAAAAGGTTTCTAGTATGAAAAAGGCGCATCTAAAAATATTACATCTTAAATTACCTTTTTTAGCTTCCATGGGCAAATGTATCATATCGTGCCTTATGATATGTATTAATTAGCAGTGTTTCATAACTACTCTCTACTTGTATAATACTACTGCAATACTAAATCTCTGAAAAGGCTTTTCATATTTTTTTTTCTTTTTTTATTCTTTATGCACAAGTAATAGTTGTACATTGGCGGACTTAAATTTGTCTGGCTTCACTGATTATATCTTATTAACTTCGTTATAATTTAAATACCATCCGGATTAAATACTGGACCAGTTAGGACAGTTAAGGCTCCTGTTTCACTGGCCTCACAAACTAGACAGGTGGGTACACAACTTCCGTCTCTTGAGTTGCTGCACTCTCAGTCCGGTCCCATCTAAGTTGCCTTAACTCCAATTAACCTTCATATCATCTGAAAAATAAGGGTTGGCGTCAGTCAAGTGTCTATTTTTTTTTAAACCAGCAGAACCCATTGCGATTTTCCATATTTATTTCAAATGAATTTTAACTTTATAACCCTACCCATAGATAATTGTTTCTTGATCTGGTAAATTATTTTGTTGATCAACAATCATGTTATCTAAAACATTGACTTACCTATGTTCATTGTCACGGTCAATAATAATTCATCAACATATCGTATTTAATTCCGGGATCTATAATATATTAAAGTACATAAATAAAAACAGATTACACTTACGTGAACGTAGATATGAGACGGATCCAGAGGCACTTGTAATATTTATCTTATGTGAAACAATCAGATATATTCGCATTACTTTAGTTTCAAGAGCTATTTGAGATATGGCGTGATATGGCACAAAACATAAAGGAGGATCCGGTATTTGATAAATCGCGTAATTTGACTATCTTATTGAATAAAAAATCTAATGTCATACAATAATACCATTAAAATATTTATAACATTTACACTATTTACATATTCGTACAAGCATCCAAAAATTCCACCGCATCATCGCCTATTGGTAGTATTTCCAGAAGACTGGCAGCATTGCCACGTCGAATGGCAATGCTAATTCTCTGTGCTAGAAAAAGGCTGACCTTCTGATCACGAGAAGAGTCGATCAGTTGCTTAGCTAGTTGTTTATACATAGCATGAGCACTCAGACCCCATGATACTAGCGTCTCGACCCCAAACGGTTCTGAAAATATATCCTCCTGAAAATTTATCAATAAATATAGCTACAAAGCTGTGACAAAAGGGTCTACACAAGGGTCTTTACAACAGAAGTTTTTATGTCTTATGGCATAAGTTTTAGAAATTTATGCCAAAACACAATTCTGACTAAGAACTTTCTGAGATATTATAAAGGTTCTACTTTCTAAATATTATGAATATGAAATTTATGACTAAAGATGATTCTGACTTACAGTTATGTGTTTTGAATAAATGATAAATGAGTGTATGCCAAACGATTTTCGAAGTTTATGCCATTCGATGGTATGCAAAATAATATTATGAAATATAAGTCCTCCTGTAAAGGGTGGACCCGACGAGATTATGAGGATATTTCTGTTAGCTGTTTTAACAGGTCAGGACTCAAATGGAAACGCATTCCATAGTAGAATAGATTGGACAGCAAAAGAAGAATGAACAAGCGAAAAGGTGTGGATTGGACTTCGGAGCTAAAGATTATTAGTGGAACGAAGATCTCTCTCATTTTTGGGATATAGCAAGTTACGCTGTGAAGTGAGACAAGTGGGAGTTGTACTATTATTAAGAATAGAATAAAGGGTAGTCAAGGCCCGCAAGCCACGGCACTGACGCAAAGGTAACCGTGACAGTTGTGTTTGATAAGTTCCCTCTAGTCTTACTTGCGGAGGATGAAGATGAACCGAATACATTTGTTGAGAAGTCGATCAAATTTGTAGATCGGCATTTAGTATTTAATGCGCCTCTCACTATCTCTCATAATCACTTCAAATTTGCGTATTTGATGGTGGCTTATTTTCCAATACTAGAGTATTAAACCTAGACAAAAACTTTATTGTCATATACAATGAAGTATTTTCTATTTATCTGCTTCCCTGTTGTTTCAAATTGCGACTATTATAAAATGATGTAGTGTTACACACTTAGAAGAGAACTTTGAATAGTGTCCAAAGAAGATATGAGGCAAAATATTTACTCCAGAGCTTATATGACGTCTCTCTCTCGACCAAGATTTCTTAACGTTTGAGCTACACGAATTTTTATTCTATCTTTCTCATAGAGAAACTGTGGTTTTGTCCATAGTTCCCTATTGGAGGGAGTCTGATAGCTTCTAGAGGCATATTATTTCGAGCACTGGGCCTGCTATATAAGGACAGAGGTGCCAACGCCTTACCACAATCTGTCGAGTCTCGTCAAAAATTGGAGCTTGGAGGACCGAAACCATCATCAGCGGTACCAAAATTTTATTTCCGTAAATAACACGAACCTGCAGGTTGTCGGCCCAAAGCCCGCTTGCTATGCCATGCTTTATGAAGCGGGATTTACAACTAATGCCTGAGCATTATAACGCAATTTAATTTTAATTTCTTAAAAAATATCTGTAACAATTATGATGAAATGATGAGGTATTTGTTTTTGTTATCTGAGTAAACTAAAAGAAATGATCTGGCTCGATTTAATAATATGTGAAAATTGGTTTACCACCCAACCATGGAGTTTTATAACTATTAAATAAATACCCCTATATATCGAGCATCTATCATGATAAGTATTTGCTTATTTATTTATTATTATTTATTGTATCTATAGCACTTATTTATTATTTTATTCCATAATTAACTTTTTTTTTAAGTATGACCGATTTAAATTTATATGCATGGTGAATAAGAACTGAGTTCTTTATTTCATTTCCAAATTTAGCAGCTGTTTTTTTTTACATTTTCATGGGACCAAACAGGAAATATGAAAGTGAAATAATAATTTTTAAAAACACTTCCCATCTCAAACAGAATCATGAGGTAAAAATATATATAAAACTATTAAAACCACCTTCTTTTTTTAAATCAATTAAAACAATCCAGTATAAGCCATAGGTACTAAGTTTTTATCTAAATGTAGCTCAGTAAAACAATGACACAGCAAATATAGCTCAGCAATACAATGACACAGCAAATAAAGCTCAGCAATACAATGACACAGCAAATACTTAAGAAAGGTTTAATTAAGTACTTTAGATTGATGTCAGCAATATTTAAAAGCTTAAATTTGACGTATAGATGAAAATTATAAAACATAATCCAGTAGCTGACACGCGCAACTTAATCCGCGTCTGTCAAAAGGAACACATATTTCCCGTTTTTGCAACATTTTTCATTCTTGCACGGGTCCTACTGGTCGTAGCGTATTAATAATAATAATAATTAATGTGCGCCGCATGAAGTGGACAAATTCTATCAATGAGAATGTCATGCGGGCATATTATCGGGCCACAGAGATGGGAACAAACCTTACTGCGTACCGTGTTCGACTAGTCTCTTTGTTTTAGGAGCTTGAACCTGCTGTCAACGTATCAGCACAACGATTGTCGGATCAAGTACGAGCTATACAGCGCTGTCATCTGCTGGATGATGCAGTACTTGAGAGGATACGCTCTGACATACGGAATAGCTTGATTATCCCTTCTTCGTCACACACTGTGGATTTGGCACATCTCAGTTAGTATCACATACCAATGATGTTGATCAATTAGTGGACGGTGAAGTTATGTCTGTAAGTACCCAATACAATGATAGGATAAGGAGCGCTTTGGAGGATGCGATTCTAGAGTACCGGTATGTGAATTGGAATAATAGACCCCGATTGTCCCGTTTGCCCATTCATAAACGAAATTTAGCGCTTGTGGGTGCCCTGGATTCGTTATTGCCTGATTATTTAGACAATAGCGAAGATCTTGGTGATACACATTCTATTCTGTATTGTGCGGCTGTTGCAGTTTGTCGAGTAGCTGGTGTTAATATAGTTGAAAATGTCACTACTACTCGACCTAAATCAACTGTACCAGCTTGGCAGTGTAGAATTGAACGTCGTATTGCTGAGACCAGGGTGCTTATTGGTAAGCTAATTAGTTTTCGATCAGGGAATACGCGGCCGAGAGTGATGCGCTTTGTGAAACAGGCATTCTTGGGGACTGCCATTGGTCCTCAACAGTACATGTCATGTGTCACAGAGCGCATAGACTTTCTAAAGCAGAAAATTTATGCATGGGCAAATAGGATAAGACGGTACAAAAAACGAATAGATCGGTAAAATCAGAATCGGATGTTCCAAAGAAATGAGAAGTGGGTGTACCGGAAATGGGAGGAGCCGGATCCATGTGTGAGTCATGGGCATTTGCCAGATGAAAATGTCACACATACTTTTTGGCGGAACATTTGGTCGGTGCCTGTCACTCATATAGAAGGTGATTGGTTGCGGGATGTCAGACGCTCATGTGAGTCTATAACACCTATGGAACCAGTTATAATTGATAAAGATGATGTAAGCTGTGCAGTTCGTTCATTACCGAATTGGAAATCACCTGGTTTAGACAGACTGCACAACTTTTGGCTTAAGTGGTTCCGAAGCTCACATGCGTGTTTGGCATCTCAATTCCAGGCAGCTTTGGATTCGGGTTCATTACCCCAATTTTTAACCACTGGTATAACCCACTTACTCTATAAGTCTGGTAGTGTCATGGATCCCAAAAATTTTAGACCTATTACATGTTTACCAACCATGTACAAACTTCTTACATCTATTCTGAGACTCAAAATTACTTTACACATTAATAATAATTCGATTATGTCAGTTTCTCAGAATGGATGTAGAAGTGGGAGCCTTGGCACTAAAGACCTCCTTATTATAGACAGGGCCATTAGCCAACAGGTGCGTCGTAATCGTAAGAGTTTGGCGACATGTTGGATAGACTATAAGAAGGCTTATGACTCGGTTCTACATACATGGCTTTTGAGGGTGCTGGAGTTGTATAAAATTGATACAACTCTGTGCACTTTCTTGAAGTCATGTATGTTGCAATGGAGAACAGCGCTTCGTTATCCAGGATGTCGGCAGACGACGGTAATTGATGCACCAATAAAGATCGAGCGGGGTATATTTCAAGGTGATAGTCTGAGTCCCTTGTGGTTTTGCCTGGCTTTGAACCCTCTTAGCACTTTATTAGAGGGTTCAGGGCTAGGCTATAGGTTGCAGAAAGACGATCAAGTTATATATATCTCACCTTCTTTATATGGATGATTTGAAACTACTAGCCCCCACCAAATTACAATTGTCAGCGTTACTAAAGGTGACGGAAAACTTTAGTAATTCTATCAAAATGGAATTTGGTGTAGACAAGTGTGCAGTCATGTATGTAAAGAAGGGTGAGATAGTAGAATCTGAAGGAATAGAGCTTTCCGATTCAACAAAACTCAGATCTCTGTCTGCCAATGAAACTTACAAGTATTTGGGTATATCACAGTCGTTAGGCATACCAGAATCTGACATGAAACAAACGTTGCAGGAACGCTTTTTTGGCCGCTTGAAAAAAGTACTTAAAAGTCTTTTATCGGGGGGCAACAAGGTGCGAGCCTGCAATGGTTGGATCATGCCGATTCTGATGTATTCCTTTGGTATACTTAAATGGACTCAGACCGAACTAGATGCCCTTGATAGGAGAGTCCGTACATTGCTGACTGCATTTCGAATACACCACCCACGTTCATCGGTTATGAGATTGTATATCCCGCGAAAGCTAGGGGGTCGCGGATTATTAAATATCAAGACCCTACACAATCGGGAGATATGCAATCTCAGAGAATATTTTCTACATACCGATGAGGGAATGCATCGCAATGTAGTTGCAGTGGATATCGGATTCACCCCGCTCGCTCTGGCTAAAGAGAATTGGCGCAAACCTGTAGTATTTAGTACTAATGATCGTAGGGAAGTATGGAAGGGCAAAGAGCTCCATGGCCGGTTTTATCGGGCCCTAAACGGGTCCGATATAGACTTTAAAGCATCTACGACTTGGCTACGGTATGGTGATCTCTTCGGAGAAACTGAAGGTTTTGTTTGTGCGATTATGGACGAAGTTATCATGACGAATAACTATCGGAAATATATCCTGAAAGATGGTACGGTTGACATCTGTCGGGCATGTCACCGTCCTGGGGAATCAATCAGGCATATCATTTCTGGTTGTTCTCGTTTTGCTAACGGTGAATATTTGCATAGGCACAACCAAGTAGCCAGGATTGTACACCAACAGCTTGCCCTTAAATACCATCTTGTGAATCTAGAGGTGCCATACTACAGGTATGTGCCCGACCCAGTTCTCGAGAATGGTCGGGCCACGTTGTATTGGGATCGATCTATTATCACAGACAGGACTATTGTTGCTAATAAGCCTGATATTGTAGTGATAGATCGATTAGAGCGCCGCGCAATGATTATTGATATCGCCGTTCCTCATGACGAGAATCTCGTGAAAGTTGAAAAAGAAAAACAAATAAAATATTTGGATTTATCTCACGAGATTGTCGATATGTGGAATGTCGATTCAGTGATAATTGTTCCGATAGTCGTATCTGCTCACGGATTGATAGCCAAGAGCCTCGACCAACACCTTAAGAGGCTCACGTTGGACGGCTGGATCAAGGGTCTGATACAGAAGGCAGTCCTCCTTGACACGGCTCGTATAGTGAGGAGGTTCCTATCTTTGCAGTCCTAACCACTGGTGTCTTGGTACCTGTACCCGATGTCGGTGGTGTACTATTTTTTATATTTTTAAATGTATTTTTATTTCTTTTGTAATATATTTAAAAATGTAATTAATATGTATATATAATTTAATAAAGAGAATAATAATAATAATATTTTTTATTTAAAGTAAAGATTTACAAAATTTGTTTAACAATGATAGCCACACTAGGCTTAGCCTGTGTCGAGGCTATCAATACAAAAATTATTATACATTAGGACAGTAGCAATAATATTAGAATCTTATATAAATCTCATATGAAACAATAGGAAGAGATCGCAGTTTACTACAATCTATATTTATTTAATTGACTAAGTTTAAGTTGGAGCTATGTGAGTGTGTGTGAGTGTGTGTGATAGTTTGTGAGCCTGTGTGTGTGTTTGTGTGTACATGTCTAAGTATGTGTATTCGTCTGTCTGTCAGTTTTCATTCTTATTTTAAGATTTTTAGCAATCGTTCAGTTTCTTTATGGTTAAGACAGCTCATGATTTTACTGATTTTCAGTTTAGTTTAATTAATATTTAATAAATAATTTAATTTAATTTAATTTAATTTTTTATATTTTTAAATGTATTTTTTGTTTGTTTTTGTATATTTCATTTAAAAATGTAATTTATATGTATAAAGAATGAAATAAAGATAATAATGTACTGTGTAATGTAATGTAATGCTTGTACCCTTCCTGAAAGAATGTCCTATCCAATTCTAAAATATTTTTTCAATTGCCAGAAGTAGCAGTTCAACTAAAGTTAGTAAACTAAAGTAAACAAACAAACAAAACTCTCCAGCTTTTATTCTAGTTATTAGTATAGTTTACGGAGACTGATTTCTGATTCTTTTTATATGGCTTATTGTTATTTAATTTGAAGATATCCGAGTTTATTGTACCGACGACAGTATCAAATGTTTGATATGGAGGAACATTTTGTATGGGAAAATAAAATAGTTGTGTTTACTATTTTCCTCACAGAGTTCCATATTGTTAACGTTTGAACTTTCCCTGGACTTCTACAAATAATGCAAGACCAAAATTAGTCAAATCGGTCCAGTTATTGGCGAGTTTTAGTAATGTTAACGAACAGCTAATCATTTTTATATATAAGAAAGAACAAGACAAAGAACAGACAGCTAAATCACACTTTTTATATAAACTATCAACTATATAAACACTATCTCAACGCACTATGTTTGTTATCTGCGTACGTTAGTTGATAAATCACAATAAAAGAACCCGTTGTGTGTACACAGTCAGTACTGAGGCATCAGAGCCTACGCCTTACCGGTCGCCTTTTAGCACGGCCTTTTAGGCATTCGTAGTTATATCTTCATTTGTGCGCATTATTTGTTTTAAAACAAGGTAAATAAATTAGTATAAAATATTTTTACGGAAATGTGTAATTTATTTTTCTTTAAAAGATATGCCAAATTTACTGAATAAGAAGATAAACTTTTTTTTTTGTTTATATTTTAGACAATGTTATTCTCAACTGCAGTGTAGTGAATGATTGCGTGAAACATTTATGAATATTTAACAACAATCATGTCAAAATATTAAAAGACAATTGCAGATTAAATAAAATAAATAAATACAGTAATATTTTAATTTTTAAAGTTGTTTATAAGTTAGTTAAAATATTATTTTTTGCTATAAAATATAATTATATATTTATTTATAATTTTACCATAACGTAGTTTTGCAATATTTAACTTTGCCTCTGTGCTGCATCATCTAATGCGTGTTTCCCATCGTTACATATTTCACTTCTCACTTCCATCATTCTCTCTTCTTTTTCACTAATTACAAGACTAGTAGAGATAGTAATACATTTATTACAATTGTTTCGTAATATTTTAGATCATGATAATCCTTCTGATATGGACGGTGGTGCTGATCGCAGTGTTTGCGTTATACCTCCGTCAAATGTATTCAAGGTTCAAGAAGTATGGTGTCAAATACATCACTCCACTCCCACTATTTGGCAACATGTTAAGGGTCATTTTACGCTTGGACCACTTTGCTTACGATATTTTGAATTTGTATAACAAGTTTCCAGAGGAAAGGTAAGAGAATCACAACGTTGTGTTGATAATCTTTTGTTGTAGGAACCATAACAGCTTTAAGTGTATAAATGAATTAAGTATTAATATGTTAATAAAAAACTTAGTTCTAACGTTGCTTATTTACCATACAAAGTGTGCTCAATACAAGCCAGTATACCAAAACCACACTTATTTTTTTATAAAATTACTGCAGTCGACTTGGTATGGTTTAAATGGTATGGTATGGTTTTAAAAACTCTTCTTATAGTACTAACTTTTGCAAGACGCTTCACTCTAGTCAAAGTTCTTTTTCTATCCCTAGGAACTGTTTCCTACCTTCTTCGGGATTAAAGATTCCCGATGTCCTTTAAACAATGGTGATTTGCCTAAGGGTACATGGTATTGGAAAATTTCCTGACGACCGAGTATGAAGTTAAGGAATCAAAACGTTACAAACGAATTAACTTTCGCATTAATAATACATTACACGTTGTACACAATAAAGTAATTAATGATATCTCGGGTATTGACGTACCTACGTTATTAAGTTCCATTGTCGATATAATCATTGTAACCCTGGTGAAGGACTAAAGTATCAATGTCAGACAGCCTTCGCAAAGAACACGAGACAAAGAGGAACATATTTTGTTACACGTTACGTTGGTACAATATATTGACTTGGTTAAAGTTAGTTTATATTTAATTTGTAACATTATCAAGTATAAGGAAGCAAATTTAACGGAGAGGTCATTAAAATTCTAGGTAATTTTAACGCTAACTTGTACAGATTTTGATTCTTGAATTGTAAAACTAAAAATTCGATTTTTTTTAAGGTTTGTTGGAAGATTTGAATTTCTTAATGAGATGGTACTGATCCGTGACTTGGACCTGGCGAAACAGATAACAGTAAAAGATTTTGAACACTTCCTCGATCACCGTTCCATTTTTGGCGAGAGCAACTCCTTCTTTTCTAGAAATCTATTCTCTTTAAAAGGTAAGTTTTACTAAAGTCATGTAGTCTTAAGGTCCATTCACATAAAAACTCTAACAAGATCTTTCATAAGATCGAGAGTAGATCGAAACCGATTTTTGAACAAATTTTTACGAATTGACCTTCCAGTATCATCAATATTTAGGTGTCTATGTTTGTATTTGTTTTTAAACCTCAAGGACAAAGATATATAGGTAATCAGCTGTTAACAATATGTACAGCTATGCGCATGAATACTTTCTATAGCATAATAGTAACTTTATCCACTATTCGAGATTTGGTTACGCATCATGGATGGGGACGGATATTTTGTTAATAGTTAACTAGTTAGTTTGTAATGTGGTAATAAAATAAAAAGTACATTGACATGTCGTTATGACAAGTTAAAACAAGAATGTATGTAAGTTCAGTTCATTTCTACACTTAGCATATACACGTTAAAAGTTATTTGACCAATGAAATCGACAGTAGAATTTTTTTGTGCGTTGACCCCGGCACTAAATATTGTCATTATTTTTTAATTTACACAGGTCAAGAATGGAAGGACATGCGTTCAACTCTCAGTCCGGCGTTCACCAGTTCAAAGATACGTGTTATGATACCCTTCATGGTAGAAGTTGGAGATCAGATGATTGCAATGCTTAAGGAGAAACTGAAGGAATCAAAAAGTTAGTACTTAGAATGTTAAATATCATTTGTGACCTTTGAGTTGTTCTAGTTGTTAGTATTCAACAAAAGCGATCAAAAACTTTTAAGGTATTATAGTTTTGTGATTGACCTTCGCTATAATACGATTAAGCCAATAATTACCTGACCTGTGTGGCGCATAGTTGACTAAAATATTTGTTCATTTACAGCGGGCTATATAACTGTTGACTGCAAAGATCTAACAACCCGTTACGCCAATGACGTGATAGCTTCTTGCGCTTTCGGTCTGAAAGTCGATTCGCATACGAACGTTGACAATCAGTTCTATGCACGAGGGAAGGAGTCTTCAAACTTCGGCTTTCGTCAAATGCTGATGTTTTTCTTAATGATTAACATGCCTAAAGTAGCTAAAGTAAGTTGTTTTGCTCAACGTATCGCTAAAGCTATTTATAAATTTATTCCAGTTTGCCTTATTTAACTAACTAATAAAGTTTATTGACATGACACTTACTGACAAGAAAGGAAACATACATTCACACTCCCGTCTATATTCCTGAAACGGTAGACAGCGGAGTATTAAAATCGTCTGCATTTTGCAGACAATAATTTTAGTCTCAGTTACGTACTCAGAGGCAAATATAATTGCGTTAACTTAGTGGTTTAGGAATTAACGTGATCGTAACGTTAACATTTCGACTGCACGTAGTAGTTAGGCGTAGTGGTTTAAGCGGTCGCCATGCCGCTTTCTACTACGCTGAGTGTTGTGGGTTCGACCTTCACATGGGACGATACTGTGTGATCCTCAAATTGTCGTTCTGAGTCTGGGTGTTCTTTGTGTCCGTTTCTCATATGTTTGTAAAGTCCCCCGTAAATTGATGTGTATAATTGAGAGTTTGAAAAAAAAATCGATGACAACGAAACCAGTTGTAAATAAATATAAAGAGATATTGCCGATAGGGATGGATTGGGCTTGCAAGCATTCATTCTAGCAAATCAGGGTCGCTTTTAGTATTTCAAACCGCAATTAGAAACTGCGAACCCCTCAACAAAGCTCACTTAAAGAGAAATAATATAAACATTTCAAGACGTAAATATAAAAATTAGACGTACACAACATATGGCTATCTTGGCAGTCAGATATATAATAACCGTTGAAGTATCTGATGCCTATTGAACTGTTGTTGTTGTCATTGATAAACTCAAATCTACACATAAAACAATTTTTTTTTTATAACATAACAATGATAAATAACCTCTTGTTATCAACCGCTCATTATCAATGTGACCGTCTGTGAGCTCAGACAATTTGTACCTACTCGATTTTATCAAAATAAAAAAAAAAATCCGATTATAAAAGACGTAATAAATATATACAAGAAAAAACACACATGAGAAAATTTAGTTTTTGTGGACTCATGTTCTTCAAAAATTCTACCTGTTACTGATTGAAATGCTAAAAAGGAACAAATAATCTAAGCCACTCAGTAAAATTTCTTTGAAACCCAAACCTTGCTGGATCTAACAAGAAATCAAATCACTTCCAAATTAAGGTTTTCGATTTGTGTATGTATGTCAGGCGATATTTTCGCCGTTTGTGAACGGATGATATTTTTTCTTATTTAGATGCATAAATGTTTCATTAAAGTTTAACTAAAGTAATTTACCTTTGAGGTCAGAGAATTTAGGAAAACAGAGACTATATTTTCCATTTTTTGTATTTTCAATCATAATTTGTGATTTAGATGCATTGATGTCGATGGTAGTTTTTTCAGATTATTATGTCTTTTTCAGTTCCTGAGATGGGATTTCTTGTCACAAAGATCCAAAGATTTTTTCAGTGATTTGGTATTGGACACAATGAAAGACCGTGAATTAAAACATATCATTAGGCCCGACATGATACATTTGCTCATGGAAGCTAAAAAAGGTAATTTACAATAAAATATTTTAGGTTCCTTATTATGCTGGAAACCTTTTCTCTGTATTTTGAATACAATATTAAATAGGAATATAAAGGATAACCTAATCCCGTTTGTGTAAGCTATGTGTCCGCAATGGATCCTAAGTCCTCTGCGTAGCAAAGGTTTGGTACTTGCTTCTTTAATTTTAGTAATTTTACTTTTTATTCAGGAAAACTAACACACGAGACGGCTAAATCTGATGACGAGGCTGCAGGGTTTGCAACAGTAGAAGAATCTGCAGTCGGTTCCAAGACAACTAATAGAGGTATCTTTTTTTTTTTTTTTTTTTTTTGTTGACGGGGTGGAAAATCCCTTCGGATCTCCGGCTCCTCGGGGACTCAGGAGCCAGGAGTATGTGGTGATTCCACTAAAAACCACCCCGACGGCCGGCCTTAGGTGTCCTACTCTGGGGAGGACCCGGACCATGTTATTTCAGGTCCTCCCCGAATTGACACCATGCCTAATCAGGCCCTATCCCAGGGTAGAACACTTCCACCTTCAATCACGGCATGGCGGCCCGATCGCATCTCAATGCAATCAGGCCGGCCATTCCATTCCCTACCGCAGCAATCAATCTGCCACCAGAGGTCCCCACTCTCTGGCGGCCCGCGGCCCCGTCGATGGCTGATATCGCCGCCGACGTCTTCTACGTTCGGGATCGGCCCTCTCCCGATCCCGTTCAGCGGTCTCTTTCTGGAGCATTACAGCTTCACAGAAAGTAATAGAGGTATCTAAAAGAAATAATTAATTTCTTTAAAGGAGCAATGTTATACTGCAACTTGATTGTCTAAAATCCGATACAGCTAACTAAAAATATAAATATAAATAAAGATAAGTTATATCTTTGCAGTCTGGACAGACGATGATCTAATTGCTCAAGCAGTGCTGTTTTTCGTCGCTGGTTTTGAAACCGCATCTTCTGGAATGAGCTTTCTTCTATACGAGCTGGCTAGTAATCCTGATGTACAAGATCGATTGGCAAAAGAAATAAGAGATCATCACCATAAAAATGGTGGAAAATTTGACCTGAATTCGATGCAGAATATGACGTATCTTGATATGGTCACGTCAGGTAAGACGAATATAATTTTTTTAAATTTAAAATTTCTTTTAATGAAAGGGAAATACAAATTAGAGAATGAATTAATAAACGAGTAAACTAGATGAAAAAAATTGGAGGACTATTTATTTTTATTTTATTTACCAGATGGCGTTGTGTGTCACATGTGTGTCATCAAAATATTATTATTTATAATTAATATGGTCATTTTTAATTTCAGAACTATTAAGGCTGTGGCCGCCAGGCATCGCTCTAGACAGACAATGCACTAAAGATTACAACTTGGGTAGACCTAACAAGAATGCTGATAAAGATTTTATTGTAAGAAATATTCCAATTTTTTCCGGTACTATTATTTTACTGGAAGAATATCTATATTCAAAATTTTTCTTTGACATAGAAGTCAAAGAACATTTTTGAAAGGATTGATTAGATCCTCAGGTCTTGGCCATGTAAGACATGATTATTTGCCATCCTTTATAATATTTAATGGTTTCACTTTAGACTCTTAACGGGTTATGGGTTCATTCACATCAAACCCATGTACTCAAATGTTTATTAACGATGACTAAATATAAAAATAGCTAGTGTAAAGCAAGTCCACAGGAATAGCATAAAAAAAACTGTTTCTCCACTTAAATCCATTTAGTAGATCGATGATACTTATGACGTGTATTATCTTCTGTCGTGTCTAGACTGCTTTTAAATTTGAAATATAATAACATTTATAGATTCGAAAAGGAACAGGAGTCCAGATTCCGGCAATCGCCTTCCACCGTGATCCACAGTACTTCCCTAACCCTGACAGGTTTGATCCTGAGCGCTTTTCTGAGGAGAACAAGCATAATATTCATCCATTCGCCTACATGCCTTTTGGGGTTGGACCAAGAAACTGTATCGGTGAGTTCCTATAAATGTAATAAATTTTCAATGTTGTACTTTATGAGATACTTTTATCGACTTATAAAAAAGACGGAATTCTGTTTCTTTGCAGCATTCGACAGAAAAAATGTTTGTCGAATTACGCTTAACTAAATCGAATGTTTCAACATGTAACAACGATATTTTATTGCAGGTTCGAGATTTGCTCTCTGTGAGATAAAAGCTATCACGTACCAAATCCTGCTCCATATGGAGCTATCACCCGCTGAGACCTCGTGCTTGCCAATTAAGCTCTCTACTGAGTCGTTCAACTTAAGAATTCAAGGTGGACACGACCTTAGATTTAGACTTAGACCCTGAGGATGTCAACGATATTTGCTTAAACAGTTATTTAATAATGAATTATAAAAATATGTAAGTAAATATAAGTTAAGTGATTGTAGAAGGACTAAATATTGTTTGAAGTCGGTTTTACTTCATTTTTTTTTATTATGTCAAATTTAATTCCTATTATTCTATTTGCAAATTTGACATAGCTATCGATCGTTCAGGTAGGAGAGAGAATCATATAACAGGCAATAACTCTTGCCTTGTATTCGCAATGACTATTAATAAATTCCAAGGCCAATCGTTAGAAGCGTGTAGAAGAAACCTTGAATTGCCATATTTTGGCTGGGCATATATATACATGGGCAGTTGTACGTCGCGTGCTCGAGAATCGGTTTTTCTTCAGAAGGAAAGACAAAAAATATTGTAAATTACAAGGCATCACAATAGGTTAAACTCGATTCTCTTTAATAATTTTAATTCATGACATGGTCGTATTGTAAACGGAAGATTTTGTCTCATTTTTTGTTACATTTTTTGTTTACACGTGTTACATTTCTGGTACTTTTTAATTAGACAGGTTAATCACTTTCGAAAATTGAATGTCAATTTATGGAATTATTGATAATCCAACTTATCTGAATTTACCGGAAATGTGACATTTTCTTAGTCTGCGACTGTACACCGCCAAATAAGTCTTTCAGGAATTTCGAAAATATTCACAAAAATAAAATTAGGGCCGTACGAAGTTCTCAGTTTAGCTAGTAGTAAATACGATTAAAGATGTAGTCCAAGGTCTTACCAACAGTCGTATATATATGCATACTGTGGTAAATAAAGACAACACTAAATAATAAAATCATTTTTTTTTTATTTCGCAAGGTAAATTTAATACACAATGGTTAACATAGAAATTAGTCAAGGTAGTGCATAGAATCAGTGGTCAAAGCGCTGTCCTTCTAGCAACAGAATGGTGGTATGAAAAACATTATGGCGGTAACACGAGATATTACTGTAGTACCTAAAACTGTAACTCGTATGGAAAATTTCAAAAATAATCTCCTTAGTAAACTACCCCGCTTGGGTTATAGTGATGATCCTAATCAATTATATAACGTTTTTTTTAACATGTATTGTTCAGAATTTAAATCAACTTTCACTCCTAACAATTTGTCAGTTAAAGGTGCTACAACCTTCAGTGAATGGGCCACCGTAGGTATATATAAAAGTAGAACAAGGCTTTATGAGCTTTATGAAGAAAGAAATTATAATACTAGTATGGAATTTCGAGAATATGTCAAACAATATTCTAATTTATTAAAAAAAATTTTTATTCTGCAAAAGTTAACTATTTAAGGTCTAAAATTAGTAATAGTTCAAATAAAATTAGAATGACCTGGGAAATAATTAATACAGAAACTGGTAAAGCAAGGAACAAATGTAATAATTACAGCCTTACAATTGATAATAAAGTAATTAATTCCGATATAGATGTCGCCACAGCTTTTGAAAAATTTTTCACAGACATTCCAGTCTCAATAACAGAATCATTGAATTCGTCCCCCACTATTGCAGAATCTTTATTGAAAAAGAATATTAACATTTGTAATACTGAGTTTAGATTTAGTTGTATCACTGATAGAGATATATTAAAAACGTTCAATGCTCTTAGTGTTAAGAAAACCGCCGAC